TGATAAAAATATTTCACAATATATACATATTGTTTTTGTGATTCAATTTGTAACAATGAAAATATATCCTGCATATCAGATATTTACATTACGATTCATAATAATAGCAAAATTACAGTTATGAAGTAGCAACGAAAATAATTTTATGGTTTGGGGTCACCACAACATGAGGAACTGTATTAAAGGGTCGCGGCATTAGGAAGGTTGAGAACCACTGCTCTAAGCCAATGAAATGGAGAAAGCCTAGAGAACCTTGGCTTGCGACCACATTGCAGGATAGTGATAGGGCTCAGTTGAATATAAAGGAGGGCTGGGGGAGTTGGAGCTGTACTCAGAAGGTTTTTTAACCTACGTGCCTAAATTGTATAAACGTAAAAAAAAAACTTCTGCCTTTACAAACACTTTAAGTTTGCTTCAGTTTACTTATTTCAAATCCGCATTATGAAGTATTACATTATTGTAAGATATTTCATCGACATATTTTATTTGAACAAGGGCACATAGCTGCTTTACCTGATAATAAAAAACCAAACTAATAATCCCCCCCAAAACTTAATGTTTCAAGAAGTGAGCTATGTTTTCATAAATGATTGTTAATAAAATATCTGACCGTGCAACCATTAAATTGAGAATGATTCTTTTTACATGAAATTGTTTGGATTTGTTTACCTTTAATTATAATAGTATTAGTTTGTGTTAGCACAGTAGGACGCATGATTGCATGACTGGACCATGTAAACAAGCTGTGGAGCTGTATATGTCAGACAAGGTAAGCAGTACTGTACACACGCATTGTCTGTGTGACAAGGGGAAATATTAGTGTAGATGTAGACGTACTGACTAGAGTGCAAAGATCAGAGCTGATAGTGATGTTACCCACAGCAGCCAAAAAGCTATTGCTATATTAAAAAAATAATTCTTAATTGAGTTATGACACTTTAAAAATCACAATGCCTGGATAGAAAAATAAGCCTTGAACATTTCGACTTGTAGTCTTTCAGTACTAAATTTTCAGTTTTGACTGGTGCGTACTTTTAAAGGATAAATTGGTACCTCCAGCTCCCACTCAGCCACTACAAAGGTATCACTGTCTTGCAGTTAGCTTTCAAATTTGTGTTTTCATTCCACATTCTAAACACCATTAAAAGAAGTTGTATAATCAGATTGTAAGATCCATTTTCTGTTTTTCAGCACACCCCCTGTACACATAACCAGCTCCATAAAGGCATGGTTTCATTAATCTGATGCGGTACTCGAGAGGTCTACATAAAGCTTGGCCTCTAACCTATTCAACACATTTAGGGTGGAATGTAACTATAAAGGAGATTGTACAATCAGATTGTAACCTGTGTGGTGAGCTTAGGACAAATGTACCGTTCCAACCTTGTGGCAACAGTTTGAAGAAGACCCTATTCTCTTCCAGCATGACTGTATCTCTGTACACAAAACAGCTCCACAAAGGCATGGTTTGATGGGTTTGATGTGGAGGAGCTTCTGAGGCTTACATAGAACCTAGACTTCAACCCTATTGGACTCCTTTTGGGGTAAATTGGAATGCCAATTTTTAGCCAGTTCTTTGTTTGATATAAATACCCCACCTCACAAATGCTTTTCTGGCTTCCCACAGATACATTCCAAAATCATATGATAGTAACAAAGGGGAAGGGTAACACCACATGCCCATGGCTTTGGATGTCTAACACGCTCATATACTGTAGGTGTGATGATCAAATGTCTACAGGCTTTTTCAATATAGTATATAGTATGTACACATAGGGCAGTGGTTCTCAAACATTGTTAGCCAAGCCTCCCATTGGAATCAGTTGAATTTTCATTCCCCTCTCTGTCCAACCCATACATATTTTATAACCTAAAAAGTGCAGTTACTCGGCAAGAAGAGAAAGTGTCATTTACTATATAAGCAGTTGCAGTGCACTCAGGGCTGTGGTTAAGGAAGTACCACCTGTCCTCCTGCAAAGGGCCCAATGCGAGCAGGGGGGCCCAGGTAGCTTGGTGAATCAGATGCGGGCGGGGGGATGATCGACAAGGCGTGGGGGGGGGCAATTATTGGAACCGATCCCCTATATGGATCTCTCCTAGTTCTGCTTTAAAGGTAAGAAAAGCATATCCTTCTATAGTGTGCATTTGCCTCAATCCAAAGCACTGAGTGTGATTCCTGTCTGCAGTCTTGTTCCTCTGCTATCTATATGAGTAATTTCTGCCAGGTTATGCTGATTCTAAGGTATGAAAGGGGACAAGGAGGGGGCCTGTAGCACACAGCCTGTGATTGACAGCTTCAGCTGTCCTTGTTTTCCTATATATATTGTATAGAGGGAGGTGTAACCCTTCCCTCAACTCAGGTCTCAAATTACACTCCGCTTCACTCTCTGGGCTGTGCAGTGTGTGACATTAGATCCCTGCCCCCCCCTGCTTCTGGAAGTTTAGAAAAGCTGTATAAATTCTGCACTTTAAATGAATGTAAAAAAAAAGGTTTTAAAAAGGAGGTTATGATTTATCTCTGTGTATCACCTGGGGCCAGTCACTTCATTGGGTATATGTAAGGGTTTACAACCACTTTAAGAGTGACCATACAAATAGCAATTTATTGGCAAATTTTAATAATTTCTCATTTGCAAAAGCCATTGAACATGTCAAGGAAAGCTACCACCAGTAGTTTCATTTGCTTTGCTGCAATAAAAACTGGTGATGGTAGTTTACTTTGGTCTGTTTGGTCATATTTGTTGAAAGGTGTTTACTTGCCTAAAAAATGTATGTAAGACTAACAAGCTGCTCAAGACATCGGAGGTTAGTCAGAGGTGCAAGCATGTTCCAGCCATCTTCAGGGCAGCAGATTTCTAAAAACCTGCAGATTGCCACATAAACGTCCAAGGGCAGTCAGCATATTTATGTCAATGCAGAGAGAAGGGGAAAGAGGTAAGTGATTTTAGCAAAGGAGCTGAGTGTATGTTCTTATAAAAGGCATCAGGCCATCACCAAAGACATCAGACATCAGATCCTGTTTCATTTGCACCTTATGTCTATGGGATACTTGACAAACCAGATGCAGAAAAGACATTCCGGGTTTTATAGTTAAATTGCTCAGAAAATCTACAAGCATGCTGGTCAATTAATGTTATCACTAAGCCTAAAGAAAGTGTTTGTGTAAGCTGGCAATTCACTGAATCTGTAAAATTATCATTTCACTGCACAGGTGTTTGCAATTGAAAAGAGAGCGCATAGTAAGTGAGATCATTATGTTCAGTTTTTTGTGATCATTTTTGAAGGATTTGCATGTTTTAACTTCTTCTTGTCAACAGTACGCATATATGCGGCCTCTCGGCAGGTGGGCCTTGACACTGAAAAGCTGCATATATGCGTACCAAAATGTAACAAACCTGCGCCAACAGCACACCCTGCATTACTTGCGATCAGGAGCTTTCCGATCATGTGACCACTCTGACAGCCAATCTTGGCAGTCACATGATCAGAAACCCTTAAGGGGTTGACATTAAGAGGTTAACAGTCCATTTCTGTTTTTGACTCCATCAGGTTATGGCACAGAGATCTTCTTGTTATAGGGAGCAGCTTGGAGAACTAAAATTCAATCTAAATCTAATTTGAATGGCACCCAGAGCACAAATACACTATGAGCCAGCCAGTAGTGCAGTGCATCACAACACATGGCATTTTTATTTGGACTTTACAGATTTTCAAAAGGAAAACTAAAAGGAAAACTTTAATTTTTAAACTGATTAAATACATCTATGTTTTAAAAAATATTAAATCAAATATTTAAGCACCCATGGTACTTTTTTTTCAAAACATTCTGGGAATTCTAAACAGAGGGAACAGCAATAGCTTTGAGACTGCCTCTCTCTAATTGAAATGCCATCTGCAGTTGCACAGAGTGGGGAGAAGGGGGGCGTGCTTCTGTTCATTCAGCTTGTTGAAATTTGGGCCTCATATTACTCTTTTTAACAAATGGGATTTTTTCAGTAATGTAGTTAAGGTTAGCCTGCTGCCCAGCAACTCAACCTGCTGAAAATAGTAAATGTGCTATATTTATATGAAATGTATGGACAAAATATTTTAAGAAAGATCTTTTGTTCTTCCTTTCCTTCAGAGGTCAATGTGCATGAAGCACTTAGTCCGGCTTTGCTGTGCTGTGGATTCTGATCTAGCATGGTGGTTGACACTGGTGTCCGACCATGCTGCTTAGTAGAAGATACAGTGCTTAGCATAAATGAGTATGTCCCTTTTGAAAAGTAAGATTTTAATCAATATCTCCATGAACACAAGAACAGTTTCCAACATTTTGACAAGTGTAATTTTATAGAACATGTGTTTAGCTCATTACATGAAAGTAAGGTTAATAATATAACTTAGATTTCTCAAATTAGTTTATGCAAAAATGAATAAACCCCACAACAAAAACTACTCCATCTAGTATTTTGTATGACCTTCATGATTTGTAAGGACAGCACCAAGTCTTCTAGGCATGGAATGAACAAGTTGACGACATATGGCAACATCTATCTTTTTTCAATCTTCAAGAATGACCTTTTTTTAGAGCCAGGATGCTGGATGGAGAGTGATGCTCAATTTATCTCTTCAGAATTCCCCATAGGTATTCAATTGGGTTCAGATCAGGAGACATACTTGGCCACTGAATCACTTTCACCCTGTTCTTCAGAAATGCAACAATGGCCTTAGATGTGTGTTCTGGATCATTGTCATGTTGGAAAAGTGCACAATGACCAAGGGCATGGAGGGATGGTAGCATCTTCTTTTTCAATATAGAGCAGTACATCTGTGAATTCATGATACCATCAATGAAATGCAGCTCCCCGACACCAGCAGCACTCATGCAGCCCCACAGAAGGACACTGCCACCATCATGTTTCTTTGTAGGCACCATGTATTTTTCTTTGTACTCCTCACCTTTGCGACACCACACAATTTTGAAGCCATCAGTTCCAAAAACATTTATCTTGGTCTCCTCACTCCAGAGTACAGAATCCCAGTAGTCATCTTTTTTTTTAGCATGGGCCTTGGGAAATTCTAGGGGGATTTTTTTGTGCATGGGCTTTATGTAACGTACCTGGTGGTGGAGCCTGATGTGGAGAGAGGGTGTCCTCTTACCACTCCCGTTCGGGACCACTGATAGGGTAGACAGGAAGTAACGAGCTGGGAGGGGCACGGGTGCCTGACGGGTCTGCGGTGACAGCTGGCAGGTGAAGACCCGAAATACCAGGATGCAGGTAGCAGAATGCAGGTGAGCAGGTGCAGCAGAGAGGTGTAGCTGAGATGCAGATGACCGTGTCAGCTGGAAGCCAAGGATAGCCGCAGGCAGTGTAGAATAGTCAGGCAGGCCGGGTCAGGATCGATTGGACGGATCAGGTACGGAGGAGTAGGCAAGCGGATAGTCAAAGGGAGAGCCGGGTCAGTGCAGGTGGAGTTCAATCGTCGTCAGAGTCAGACAGTGGATCACAGGAGTCAAGATACAGGTAACAGGAAGTAGAAGACCAGAAGGCACCATTCTGTTTGTAGCAGGGGTTTAAATAGCCCACCTGTGCACGTCAGCACGTGCACGTGTGCGCAACTGCGACATTCTTCTTCCCTGACACTTTAGGAGAGGCTTCTTTCATAGACGACACCCATGCATGCCATTCCTCTGCAGTGTATGCCATATTGTGCCATGGGAAACAATCACCCTAGTTTGGCTTTCTACTTCTTTAGCTAACTGCAGTGAACTTGCATGGCAATTTTCTTCAACCCTTCTCATCAGAAGACACTCCTGTCTGAGGTGTTATCTTCCGTGAATGGCCTGGATGTCTCTGTGAGATAGTTGCAGTTCCATCTTTGTTAAATTTTTTTATCACTTTTGCTACAGTATTCTGACTGATAAATAAAGCTTTGTTGATCTTTTTCTAGCCTTCACCTTTCTTGTGTAAAGAAATTATTTTCTTTCCCAGACCTTGTGACATTTCTCTTCCATGTGGTGCCATTGCTCACAGCATGAAATGGGAAAGGGTTCTCTTTGTTAAGTAACACCCTTTTATAATCAACTGTCCGCTGGACACCTGTTTAATGAATAATTAGACTCACCTGTAGTTGAATTCTTGTTAATTAGGATTTTGATGTCTAAAATGTAGCTTTAACCTAAGATTTTCATTTGGGGTGTATTCATTTTTGCAACATGGTTTTTAATGAATTTGTTAGGAAAAATAATTTTTTGTGTGTGTGCAAATGACCAAATCTTGTTTGCAATCAATGGCCCGTATTTGTGGGAGTATTTTGTAGTATAGTGTCACATAGAAAATGTTGATTGAAAGTAAAGTTTTCTGACAAATATGTTGGGGTGTACTTATTTATGCTGAGCACTGTAAATACATAATTAGTTGTGAGTAGTGAATGACAGACACGCAGAGGAGAGAGAGACTTTCAGCCAATCACAGTGATCACATGACAGGGAAACCCATGTAATGCCTCCTGAGTTACAAAAGCTGCTGAACTCCAGAAATGATTTATACTGCATACTTACACTGGTTCAGTGCATTGTAAGGATGCATATCTTAGTGCTGATGGACTGGTGGAAGAAAATTGGATGAGGTGAAGTTTACGACATTACCAACCCTCCTTTCTGCCTCATTCATTCAGAGAACATGTTTAATTCACCGGAAAAAAAATACAACAGCCCCCATAAACAGTCCTCTTTGCAAAGCTGCTTGTGGGTAAATGCAGCGGGGAGCAGTGGTAGTGAACACTCAGAGTCTGGTTGCAGTAAAATGTGAAATTTGCATTGAGCAGCACGCCATTGTTACATTCACCCTAGTGGGAGAGCGCTGCTTAGTGAAATAACTCACAGTCAATGCAGTCAAAGATGTGGCTGAAAAGAGATGCCGACAACACCTGTTTCATAGGGCTAAGCCTGGCCAATGTGGTCCTAAGAGGGGAGGCTCCATTCCAGGATAGCAAGTCCCTAGCCTGTCCCTTCCTGTTCTGGAACCTTTCCTTAGTGCTAGTTACTTTCCATAACAAGCAGGGTCTTTCTCCCTATGCTAGCCACTCACAAAGTGTGCACCAAATCCCAGGGGCAGGGACTTGTTTAGACCTTGCTGACCTATGATGGCCGGCAATGGTCACATGACCGCATTGTAGCCAACCAGAACACTGCTCTATTGACCCAGGAGACCATAAAAAACTGTGTTTCCCCTTGACTTCCTCTCCTGTGGTACCACTCAGGTTGAGCACCACCTACAGTGCAGAAAGCAGACTGCAGCTGCCTACATGCTCTTCTTTGCAATAGTTAAGTAATACAACAAGGTCCTAGGATGTAATTGAGAAGACAAGACTGGGAGAGGCCATGCATGGCCTACAGATATAACATTTAAAAGAATCTCCTTTTTTTAAAATTGGCACAGTGATTTTCAGTCTACCGGGGATGCTTGAATATATGGAAAGGTGAACTTAACCTTTAAGGTAGACCATGCAATAATAATTAAAAATATGTGCTCAATGAAAATGTACTATTTCTTTTAATAGGCATAATGTATGCTAATAAGGGAAGTATAGGTGCTTGCCAGGGGCTCCAGAGTCCATGGGGATTCGGAAAAACTACTCTTTATAGTCAGTCACTTTCAGCTCTGAAAGGCATTTAGCGATGGAATCCTTTGTGTTCCAGTAAAATCTCATTCACACACGATCTGTTTTCCTGTGCGGGCTTGTGGCCATGCTGTATTGGCTTCAGGGGTTGGCCATAGATGGATAGAAAGTCGAATAAAAATCGGGTGGGTAGACCAATCACTCAATTTTCATATGGTTAGTGTGTTTACTGCAAAAATCGATTTCTGATTCAAGATTGAAAATAAACAAACACATGTGTTTTTTTTTTTTTCAAACAACCAATTTTCTATTTCTTTGTAGGTCAGCTGTTTGAAAAAAGAAAAACACGTAAGTGAAATGCAGATGAGAACTAAGGGTAATAACAGAAATCGAAAAAAAAAATAAGTTTAGTGTTGTAAATGATCGGAAAAATGTTGAAGTTTGCTGGAATTTCTGATACAAGGATTGGGCCATCAAATGTTAGTTCGAAAGAACGTTTTGAAATTTGTTAGAATTTGCATTAGTTTTTCTACTCATCTATGGCCAGCTATACACTTTACCATGCAAGGCACTGTTTTTCCTTTTTTTTTTTTCCTTTTTTGAAATACTGCAAAGTGACATTTCAATCTTTTCTTAATACCGCAGCTGCTGTGCATAAAACGCGCAGCCAGAGTGAGCGCTCCAGTGCGGTGTGGAAAAATACAGTTATGCTGCATTTTTTCACACCGCATTGCTCTGCACCTGCCTCCTGGGTTCTGATGTGAACAGGGCACATAGAAAACAGTTGTATTCTGAGTGTCAGTGTGGACACCTGCATATTTCTAGTGCAGAAAAATGCAGGTCTTCAAACAAGTGTGGACAAGCACTAAAGGGTTCACAGAAACCAAACATTTATTCACAATGCGTTTGCTCGCTCTTTGCACGTGGAATAGGAAAATGCCTTTGTATACTGAAATTTATGCACAATCCTGTTAAAGTGGCAGAGAGCCTATAAATGGAAAACATTCCAAGGAACAATGAACCATTGCTGGTTACAATATTGATACAGCAACCCCATTCTGGCTGTCCTGCATATGAAACCAAGCCACATTCTACCAATACCTATTATTATACAGGATTTATATAGCGCCAATAGTTTGCACAGCGCTTTACAATATAAGGGAGACAGTACAAATACAATACATTTCAGTACAGAAGGAATAGGAGGGCTTTGCACATGGAACTTCCAATCTTAAGGAAGGGGGAGGTGATACAAAAGGTGATAGCTGCGGGGGATGATCTGGCGGAGGTGATTCAAGTACAGTTCTTAGGTGGAGGTGGGGTAGGCTTCCCTGAAGAAGTGAGTTTTCAAAGATCGCCTAAAGGCAGACAGGGTGGGGGCTGACTGGACATGCTGTGGTAGGGAGTTCCAGAGGATGGGAGAGGCTCTGGAGAAGTCCTGGAAGCGAGCGTGGGAGGAGGTGATGAGGGAGCTAGAGAGGATGATATCATCGATTTGGGCGGTATCTGTGGATGAGGTTGCTGATGTAGCTAGGGGCAGTGTTGTGGATGGCTTTGTAAGTTGTGGTTAGTATGTTGAATTTTATACGTTGAGTTAGTGGAAGCCAGTGAAGAGATTGGCAGAGAGGGGCAACAGTAACAGATCGGTTGGTAAGGTGTATGAGTCTAGCGGCAGCATTCATAATAGACTGAAGGGGGGATAGCCTGTGGTAGACCAGTGAGAAGGGAGTTGTAGTAATCGAGGTGGGATATAACTAAGGCGTGGATAAGTTGTTTTGTGGTGTCATTGGTCAGGAGGGGGGGATTTTGGAAATGTTCCTGAAGTCGAGGCGGCAGGATTTAGCCAGTGAGTGGATGTGGGGCCCAAAGGAGAGGTCAGAGTCTAGGATTACGCCTAGCACCCTGGCATGAGGGGAAGGACCAATGGTGGTGCTGTTGATCTTAATGGTAAAGTCGTGAGTAGGGGATCGGGGAGGAGAACATATTACAAGCTCAGTTTTTGAAAGACTGAGTTTAAGGTAGTGATGTGACACAATATTGATAAAGCAACTTCATACTGGCTGTCCTGCGTATGAAACCAAGCCACATTCTACCAATACCTATTATGTCAATTGCATACATTCTCAGCATACAGCATATGTATAATGTACATTCCAGACATTTAATGACATAAATAGTCTGGTGTTATGCCCAGTGCCTCCATAGTATTGATTTCTATAAAGACAGGCCATAGAGGTCACAGTGAAAGGCTTCCAGGTTGTATAATCGCTCCGCTTCAAATGTTGTGTACATCACTTAGCATGACTCAATAAATGGTTATAATGCAATTGTTACAAAAAGAAACAGGTAAATTCAATTTGTTTGCTTAAGACAAGTCATCTTGCATGAGACGGGTCTTTTTTCCTGTGGTAATCCAGTCAGCGGTTCGTCTAATAGGTTGGGGAAGAGAGATGAAGCAGAAAATGGTAATAGCACCCGGGGGGGGCAGGAATAGATGAGGGCTGGATTAACACTCTCCGCTGGAGTGTATGAAATTGTACTCTGAGATTTGTTTGGCTTTGACAGGTGATGTACAGAAGGTGTCCGTCATACTGATGTTATTCCAGCAGACCGTGATAATGCTTGATAATAACTTTTACACCGCACAGGGGTTTTACTGAACAACCGTAAAACTGTTAACTTTCTTAACCACTTCATGTCCGGACACTTTCACCCCCTTCCTGTCCAGGCCAATTTTCAGCTTTCAGCACTACCACACTTTGAATTACAATTGCACAGACATGCAACACGGTACCTATATGAATTTTTTAGCATTTTTTTTAGACAGATAAAGCTTTATTATGGTGGTATTTATTCACCACTGAGATTTTTATTTTTTTTGCTATGTAAATGAAAAAGTCCAAATATTTTGAAAAAAAAGTGTTTTTCTTATAAAATTTTGCAATAGTATTTCATCATAAATCTTGGCCAAAATTTATTCCGTTATCTTTTTAGTAAAAAAAAAAAAAAAAAAAAATTAGTTTATAATCAAAAATTATCATTTTTAAACATTTTTTTTTACATTTTTATTTTTTATATCATTTATTATGTTTTTCCTTTTTTTTTTACATACTGTCACCCTAGCAGTACAGTGTCACCATGGAGATGTGAAATGGGGAAACAGTTTTCATTGTTTGAACACTGATTGAAGTAAATTAAAAACGTTCTGACTGACATTCTGCAGTTTAGCCACAAGATGTCACTGTTTCTAACACAGCCTCAGACTGCATAGCTATTTCTATATTCAATAAAGGGTGGGGTTTTCTCAAGGAGAGTGAACAGGAAGAGAAAAGAGAG